AATTCAGAGAGTTGGTGCACATAATTTGCCACTTGGTATACACACCACCCTCTTCAGGTTTTGATTTTAAAGTGGTCCTTCTAGAAGAATTGCCAACCAAAACTTTTTTTTTTAAAAAGAAAAAGAAAAAAGTCTTCAACTATTTAACTAATAACTGTATGTGGGAAAGATATGCATTCATACATTTCCCAGGGTTATTTGCTCCTAAGTGAAAGTAACAAACTCAGCCTGAGTTCGAACCCACTATCCCTTACACGAACATCAAGTTTATATAAATTGGCATGAAAGGCTTTATATCAGAAATATATTTTAATAACTGACTGTAATTGATATTTTGAGAACACCCAGTTATTGGGTTTCAGGGATTTTTTTCTGAAGATCATTTCGTGTCTTAGATGTCTAGAAGCTTGATTGAGAAATATTAAAATTCTATCAACGCCATGTTTATCTTCACTCCTACCGAAATTCTGTAAAGGGTTTTTATTCCTTTTCCTAGTCAAGCGGATCAGGTTACACACGCGCCTTTCACCCTGCACAAGATATTCTGCCTCTTTAGATTACAGGTATTTAACGGGTGCAGACAAGCTTGAATGAGAACTAATACCCGAAGAAGGGCCAACACATGTGCAGAGGGATCTGCATTCCCAAACCCAGAGAATGAAGAAAAAAAAAGAAGGTAGGTAGATGAAAATTACAAACAGCCAAACCATTTGGGTTATGAGCAGGCAAGTTTCGTACACCGATTCAGTTCATGTAAAGAATTTGAATCTCAGATCTGACTCAATATTGGAATCTTGTGTCATTATACATATAAGTGAACATTGAAGTCAACAAGCTGTTTCATGCATGTAAGAATTTTTTCGCCACAAAAAGACGCTAAAATTTCCCATACTAATTTATGGTCACCCGTTGCCACAAGGAAAAGAATTTTAAATAATATTTTGAAGGTTCAAAGAAAGATTTAAAAATATAATTTAATAATAAATACGAAAAATTTTTTTTTTAAATAAATACTAGACAAATGCGACTTGATAAATACTAGACAAATGCGACTTGATAAATACTAGACAAATGCGACTTGATAAATACTAGACAAATGCGACTTGATAAATACTAGACAAATGCGACTTGATAAATACTAGACAAATGCGACTTGATAAATACTAGACAAATGCGACTTGATAAATACTAGACAAATGCGACTTGATAAATACTAGACAAATGCGACTTGATAAATACTAGACAAATGCGACTTGATAAATACTAAAAATGCGACTTGATAAATACAAAAAAGAAAACTTGATAAATACTAGACAAATGCGATAAATACTAGACAAATGCGACTTGATAAATACTAGACAAATGCGACTTGAAAATACTAGACAAATGCGACTTGATAAATACTAGACAAAATGCGACTTGATAAATACTAGACAAATGCGACTTGATAAATACTAGACAAATGCGACTTGATAAATACTAGACAAATGCGACTTGATAAATACTAGACAAATGCGACTTGATAAATACTAGACAAAAATGCGACTTGATAAATACTAGACAAATGCGACTTGATAAATATAAATACTAGACAAATGCGACTTTGATAAATACTAGACAAATGCGACTTGATAAATACTAGACAAATGCGACTTGATAAATACTAGACAAATGCGACTTGATAAATACTAGACAAATGCGACTTGATAAATACTAGACAAATGCGACTTGATAAATACTAGACAAATTGCTATGGAGTAATTTCACAGTAGAGGCTTGTATTTGTACTAAGTCGGTCCTAAAACAGGTTCGACGTACAAAACGTTAGGAACTTCATATAATAGGTATGACGCAGTAATCTAGTTGTGGTCGCTGATACTTTAGTATCCGACTAACGGTCGTCCGACATCGACTGACCGAACAACTCACTGAGCGACTTCGCGACCCACTCGTTACACTTACTACTCCTACTTATTATAGGTGGGAGAGTTTATTAACTATAGAATAGGTGAGTTCCACTATAACACAAATATAATTTGATAAATACTAATCAAATATAATTTAATAAACGCTAAACACCCTCTTAATAATAACAACAAAGACTTTAACGATAAAACTATTTTTATAAAATTTTAGGGCAATTTTTCATCATGTATGATCAATTTTAGCAAGCCCTGAAGAGAGTAACACTAGCAGTAACAACACATCGCCAAAGAAAGACGGGCAGCTTTTTAAAGAGATATTTTTAAAAAAAATAAAAAGGTTTCACTGGAGATTAGATTATTTTAAAAATGTAAGAAAGAAATGTTTCTGTTTCTTAATACTGTGCTTAGCTTTTAGAAGTCATCTTTTGCTATTCCAATGTACCATCGGATTTCAGTGTCGCACTTTCTAGGTCTCGGTTATTGCACTTCTCAAATAGTTAAATTGTACTGGTTTCATTTTTGGTATCTCTAATTTTTGTTAGAAACAAAGATGTACTGAACTGTTATTTAATATCAGTCCTCCTACACGGCAGTGAATGCTGGACAATCTCAAGAATGAAAAAAAGAGACTTGAAGTAAATGAAATGTGGACCGAACATGTGAACACCGACAAAATTCTCGAGAAAATGGAAACAAAAAAGCACCCTTATACTGAACATAGGGAAGAGACATTTGAAATTTCTAGAGCACATAATGAGAATATGAAAAAATTTGATCCTCATAGAACAAATTGAAACCAAGAGAGACAAAGGAAAACAACGCATGACCTACCTAATGAACTTGGATGACTGAGCAATGCTTAGGAGAAATCAATAAAAAAAAAATATTAAAAACTACAAAAGACAGGAAATGGTGGAGAGCCATGATCATCAATGTCCTGAAGGGATATGACACATTGAAGAAGAAGAAGAATGAGCTTGAGTAAATGGATGTAGGAGAAAGATAAAGATAAAAGATAAAATTTATTAAGAGCGACAAAAGACAGGAAATTGTGGAGAGCCATGATCGCAAACCTCCTGAAGGGAGATGGCACATAAAAGAAGTCAGAAAACATGCCGACAAATTTGTGAATACATGAGATAAAAATTCTTTGACATTGTCGTCTGCTTCTTTGAAAATTTTAATTAACTATCATCGTAGTGCTCACTTCGACATCCACCAGTCATATGACAAAAAAACAAAAAAAAAAAAACAGACCCTAATTTTGTCTAGCTCTGCGCAGCCACTTCCGGAATACCGCCCCCAAATATCAGGGTCGTAAAACTTCTTTTCTAACCAATAAAATAAAATTCCGATTCCACCCATGAAGGCAGAACCCACCTGACCATCAATGTTTTCGACTAGCAACGAAATCAACTGTAGCAGAGACAGACTACAAACGACTACATATGCGTGTTAATTTTCGCTCACAAGTCTATGACACTTGACTACTACCTTGTGTTATAACCCGAACGAACTCTCGGTCTTTAACGACTGATATAGACCCAATAACGACCAAACGATCAAAAACTTGTAAATCACGGGAAAATATAAACTTTTATTTATCTCAGCCACGACTTCTCTCCATTTGTTGCTTTGTCGCTTCCACAACGGTAATACTGTCGTTACAAGACTTTACACGGCAGATGTGATTCTATTGAAGAATGCCAAGAGTATCATAGACAGAATATTTATCCAACAAAGAAGTTTTAAAATCTGTCTATATTTCCGAAATGAGGTATTGTAATTATTTGCACTATTTACATTGTTCGGACTGTTGTCCTCATCTTTGTTGTTGTATTCACGAAAATCTAAGCTAACCAAGCAATATGGGAACCAGTAACAATACCAACATTGTAATATGAGTTCTGGTAAAAAAAAAAAAAAAAAAAAAAAAAATTGATTACAGAGACATTAGGTTTATAAGTCTCCAAAATACACTGATGTCCCCAAGGACACATGGCCCAGTGGATAAAAGCATTTTTTGGGATCCAGTAACTTGACCGAAAGTTTTGTGAGTTCAATACCTGGTTACAGCAGAGGTGGATAAAAACTTGGAGAGTTGAGTTAAAGGGAGATAACTGATACTCAGACATCCGGAAGAGGCGTGGAACGAGAACAATTTACCTCGGTGGACGAAATAAAGTGTTCGGTTAAAAATTCCAATCACCTGAAGAAGGCCGGAGTATACAACGAAACGTGAATATAGTTACAACCATGAGGACAACAGTTCGAACAATGCAAATATTGCAAGAAAATTTTGATTTGTTTTTGTTTTTTTTTACAGTTTATCAACCCTTTACTGGTTATAATATAAAGCCTGAAAATGTTTTTAGATTTTAAGATTTTTTTTTTTCGATAATAAAGATATAGTAATACAAGTATTACGAATTAACCCATACCTGGGGGAATAAAAATGTGGATTCAAAACTAATCAGAATTTGATAAACAAGAAATTATGCGGATCAATTTTACATTACAATCAATATATAAACTGATCCCTCACTTTGTGGCCACATTAGTTTCTATACATTTCTATTCCAGAGGATGTAAATAAATCTAAAAGACAGGCCCGTGTAGCTAATCAATATTTCATTGATTGATTCGTTTTCTATGGCTTAACAGTCAAGAAATTATAATGTGGATATAAAGTGGGGGATCAATTATACATTAGATCAATATATGAAATGATCCCTCACTTTGTCACCAGAGTAGTTTCTATACATTTCTATTCCAGAGAATGTAAATAAATCTAAGACATGCGTGTGTAGCTAATCCGTATTTGATTGATTGATTGATCCATTTTCGTATGTTATTTAAAGCTAGAAAATATTTTTAGATTAAGATTTTTTTATATATATAATGGTTTAGTGATACAAGCATTGCTATTTAACCCATAGCCGGGAGGAGAAGAGGTGGATTCATACCCTTCCTAAGGGTAATTGCGTGTAAGCGAATATAACAAACCCTACTGGAATTCTGCTCTCCTATTAATAATTCCGAGCCATTATCCATTACACCATCTACACATCAAATTTACAGCACCTGATATTGCCAAGCGGTCACCCATGTAAGTACGGAGAAGGCTCCACGTTGCTTAACTTCGGTGATCGTACGAGAAATCGGCTCCCCGATATTAATTACGAGCCATTATCCATTACACCACACTCACATCCAACCCTACAGCACCTGGTATTCTCAACCGGTAACCCATCTAGGTACTGACCACGCTCTACGTTGCTTAACTTCGGTGATCGTACGGGAACTAGTTTCTCCGATTAATTCCGAGCCATTATCGATTACACCACCCGCACATGCAAGCTTACTGCACCTTGTATTCCCAAGCGGTCACCCATCTAGGTACTGACCAGGGTCGACGTTGCTCAACTTAGGTAATCCTACGAGAACCGGGGAATACCACTGGAGAGTGGCAAAGAGGTTACCGATGTGTAAGTGAGGTCAGGTATATTTACTCGCCCCCCTTAAAACAAAGTCGTTTTAACGTAAAGAGCGCCATACACGTACGTATATATATATATGAACCAAAGAAAACTATTTGACCAGTCCCCGCGACTACTGTCATGCTGGCATCGATATTACGCCGGCCCTACTGCAATGGGGGAGGTGCTGCCGCAGGGTTGGAATCCCCAGGACTGGCAACGTTCTCTCATCTAAAAATGAGTATAAACGTTTACTCCGCTTCCGACACAAAAGTAACTCCCGTCTAAGTGAGGTCTGGACATACCTGTTTAGGGTTGGCTGTTTTCTTTTATCAAGAAAAGAAATAGGGAAAACACTCCACCCACGGGAACAAATTATAAATACCAGAGATACATGGGTGGCGTTTTATTCCACTAGGCTATGTGCAAAACAGTTTTAAGTATAGCCATGTTATAATCTTCCTAAAACCAGATCTTCTTATTCATGTTACACAAATTTCCACCACTGGCCGGATGTGAACACTCCGAGACCCAAGACTGAACTAAAAATTCCGTCCACTGCGCATCGGCTCCGCACATAGCTTCCGTTTTACTTACACGCTCAAAGAAAAATACAATCCAGAATTTCCACCCAATAGCATCCACTTTCGTCTAAAGAAGCGAAATAAAAATTGGAGTCGATCTGAGCCTAAGAAAAGGATATAAAAGCCTATCAAAGGGACATCTTCGGCTGTCGGACGGCACAACAGCCAGGATTCACAACGCTCGTCGGAACGAGACCTCCCATCTCTAAAGAAAACTCAGCAAAGGCCATCACCGCAGTAAGTCACAACTCACCCTTCTACTGTACGCCTCTGCGGATGACTTTTACAATTCTACTTATCTCTTTCTTTCAACGAGAGACATTTACACCAATTTACAATTTGTTGTATTTTTTATGTTAATATAATTATTTATTTCTTAAACCTCCGTCGTTTATTCTTTGTTATGCCACCATACGCTTAACATAACAGCCAGAAAGAAGGCCTGAGGTTAGAGCAGCTGAAGCATCGTGATCAAGGCTAGAAAAAAAACGCGGAAACTAGTCTGAACTAATCGATGTTCATTGTACAGTACAATATAACCTGTAATTTCTCTGGTCTCTTCCTGTCAATGGACAAAGAAACCAAGTTATCCTGCTTAAAAATTAAACAAAAATAATCTAGAACGGGGAAGAATGTCACTTGGCTGCTATAAAAACCTGTTTATATTGCTGCTCGGATATTTTTTTGTTTTTCAAAGACAAGGTGGCCCGTGTCAGCTGTTGCTATGGCGACAGCTTAGAGACTGCTCATTACAGCAACCCATCTTAAACTTTCGACCCAGCAAATTATTTCTCATTCAAAAAAGACCGCGTCTTACATATTAATAACTGTTTAAATGTTTTGTCGTTAAATAGGACTGACTGTCTCCAGAATCACAATTCAATAGACAGTGAAAGGCTTCAGCTATTTCCTATGAGATCAACTATTTGTTCACAGCTTTGGCGTTAAAGCAAAGGACCGGAGATTGTAAGTGCGTTTGTAGTGACTGAGAAATATTAACTCCTTTTACCCTCTGCCTTCAAATTTGGAGGACTGGGGAGGAAATTCGAGAGCCGATGTAAAATATTCTTTGGACCAATTAAAACCTTGCCTTCACAGAATTTGACCGGTGAGCTGAAAAGAAGGAGGAAATAAATTCACGAGCCTATGTGAAATTGCTCTTGAACATATAAAAACTTAGTCTTCACAGAAATTAGCCGTTGAGCGAAAAAGAAAGAAAAATAGTGAGCCTATGCGAAATTAAGAGAAATGTGTCTGATCTCATGTGAAAGGTTTCGTTTCAGTTCCTCGCGACCAGCATCACAGTTCTCACCATTGTAAAAGTATTCGCCAATAATATTAGCGTTTTACCAAGCACGTGGCACTTCAAACAATTTTCCTTCAACAACCCAAGAAAGCTAAGTATTTCAAACTATCACTCTTCGTCTACTTTTGAATGTATGCAACCGTATATCCCTTCTGTCAGCAACGAACTCTTACCTTTGTTTTAAACATTTTTGAATATTATTTTGTGTCAGATCAATTAATCTGTTGTATGAACATTTCCTCTTCATGACAATACGTTAAAATTACGAACTTTAGGAAATCTGATTTATTTTCCTGAAACGATCTACTGACAACTTCAGGTGTCTAAATTCTGTAATTAATTCATTATTCCCTTTTCCCCTTAGATTCGGAGGACTGATGAAGAAATTTGCGAGCCTATGTACATTTTTTTCTGGTACCAATGAAAACCTTGCCTTCACAGAAATTGACTGGTGAGCTGAAAAGGAGGAGGAAATAAATTCGCGAGCCTATGTGAAATTGATTTTGAACCAATACAAACCTTGTCTTGAATTAGCCATCGAGCCAAGAAGAAAGAAAAGAAAGTCGGGAGCCTATGCGAAATTCTTTCAGTTTCATATAAAATTCATGTAAATGAATATGAATTTTATATAAAATGAGGAGAGAAATAGAATTAAGAGAAAGATGCCTGATCTCGTGAAAGGTTTTGTTTTAGTCCCACGCGACCAGCATCCAAGTTCTCACCAGTATAAGATTATTTGCTAATAATATTATTAGCGTTTAACCAAGCACGTGCCACTTCAAACAATTTTCCTCCAACAATCCAAGAAAGCTAAATATTTCAAACTATCACTCTTCGTCTACTTCTGAACGTATGCAACCATATATCCCTTCTGTCAGCAATGAACTCTCTTACATTTGTTTTAAACATTTTTGAATATTATTTCTTGTCAGATCATTTAATCTGTTGTATGAACATTTCCGCTTCATAACAATACGTTAAAACTACGGATTGTGATTGATTTTCCTGAAGCGAGCTACTGACAACTTCAGGCGTGTAAATTCGGGAATAAAGTCATTATCTTGATTTGTTTAAATTAGCCGCGTTTCCTCGTCATTATTCTCCTCTGTTATTCATCTTGGCGTGGGTAAATCAACTGTTCATTGCAACCCCTAAGCCCTTCACCACGATGTTAATTAGGGTTAATTTTAGAATTAAAGTTTTGGGGGGGAATTCACAAACGCAAAGGAGTCCTTAAGCAGCTGCAATAGAAACAGTGAAACATCAGTGAGAGCAGTCAAGCGAGAAAAGGCGAGATTTGAACTCGGCTCGACAGCTCCACTTTCCGCACATTGAATACATAATTCTTATTCATCAAAATGCTTCAATTATTTCACACCAGGAAAGGCAATAATGCCACTAAGGGGTTACTGGGAGTGAAAGAGAATGAGAAGACTTTCGCGACGAGAAAGGACAATAAAAGAACAGGTTTCAGGAAGACAGAAGATGGCGATAATGCCACTAAGACGCAAGGGGTTACTGGGAGTGAAAGAGAATGAGAAGACTTTAGCGAGGAGAAAGGATAATAAAAGAAGAGATTCCAGGAAGACAGAAGCTGACAAGTTACTGGGAGTGAAAGAGAAGACTTTAGTGAGAAGGAAAAGGACAATAAGGGAAAATACTTCCGGAAGACAGGAGGGGTTGATTGACGTTGTATTTTAAATTTTTGAAGAACGTAAGTGGCAAGGGAAGCAAGAAAGTGGAGTTCTACAGGTGAGAAGTGCTAGAAAATAAACTATTAGTATTGAACATACGGTTGCATGTAACGAGTTCAACAGTAAAACAGTGAGACCTAGTTGCCAATCTGTTAGTACGTTTAAATTCATGAAGTCGAGGCGCCAAGCAGAACAGCTCATCAAAATAATTGACATGAAAATATTTGTAGGAAAGACAGAGGGAAACCATGTCAGGTCAGGATCGATTGATTTAGAGAAACTTCTTTGGATTTTGTCGAAAAATCTGTAAATGCATGACAGAAACACCAGACAAGATCTAAAAACAAATATTCAATGCAAGGACGAATTGTAGATTTATAAATGTGCAAAAAAAGATTCTGCCGAGTAGAATTGGTTTGGTTTGGTATAAGGCATATCAAACCTCAAAAGGTTATTTAATGCCGATAAAAGATTATTTTTTATTTAGTTTGGTTTGTTTTACTCAATGGGTTATTTAATGCAGACAAGATTTTTTTTATTGCTGGTAATATTTTTCCACAAATTTATTACTGGTATTTTTTTTCAAGAAGTATTGCTGATAATAGGCTTTTAAAATCAGTATGCCAACAGTATACGCATTTTTTATACAAAAAATGTCAATATACCTGTTCTATAATATATTTTATATAGTCATATTTAGTATATATACTTTAGGGTTAATTTTTCAGTTTAGCACCCGCGCTCAGTTCGCATTAAAAATGTCCAGAATACATATATTTATATGTAATTGCACATGCTTCATTCGAATCTGGCTTGATAAATTTGATTAAAATCTACCATTTTAGAGTTATCGATAGTAAAAGTTCGGATTCATTCGCGTCGTTGGCGGCAGCTATTACTAGAGTTATTTGCATACATTCGCTGCGGAAAGCTAAACGCGGAAGACTACGGAAAGCTAAGCTCGGAATTGATCTTTTTTGTCAAAATTTGCCTCAATTACTGCGCACGAGAACTATTTACGTAGACACAAATGAATCCGAAGTTTTACTGTCGATAACTCCAAAACGGTAGATTTTATCAAATTTATCAAGCCAGATTCGAATGAAACATGTGCAATTACACAAATTTAAATATTCTAGAATTTTTTTTTTATCGCGAACTGAGCGCGGGTGCTAAACTGCAAATTAACCTACTTTAGTATATATTAAAATTGAAACAGTTAAATAACTTCTTTGAGTTGTAGTAGTTAT